CTAAATTCCCTTTTTAATTAAATACAACTTGGTATAGTTATTATATAACTTAGAATTAAACGGCCAATAGTTTAAGACTTTTATACTTAATAAAAATCGTTTGACTAAAAGTCTAAAATCATTGGCCATTTATTTCTTAATTATATAATAATTATGTCGAGGCGGATACATTTAATTAAAAAAGGAATTTTTAATTTAAATTCGTCCTATAGACATTTAACTAGAAAATGGACAGGGACATTATATTACCTTGAATATTAATATGACGACAACCCAACCTAATCAAACCTATGAATATAACAACTATGTTAATGATTTGTGTAAATATTATTTCGTTAAATTGTAAAAATTAAAAGAATGCAAGCCGATAGGAGAAATAAAAATATGATTGTTAAATGTAAGACTAACTTATTTCTATCTATAAATTAAATTACCTAGCTATATCATGGTAGTGTTGTGTTACTATGAACGTATATTTTATTATAATTATAGTTTATTATGCAATTTTATGTTCAATATATTATAATATTATAACACTTAGACAAGTATTTAGTATCTACCCATTTTGTAAAGTGATACATTATAAGAAAATAGTTCAATTGAATAATAATAAGAAAACAATTTTTTTTTGTCTGCATTTTTTTATAGGAACTCGGACTAGTGTTTGATTTTGATTTATAGTATAATTAGTATAACTATCTTAATTCATGAATATTAAAGGTATAACTGTATATTATATAAATCCCCAATGAGACATGTTTTTAACAGTAGCCTGTGTAGGGAGGAGGAAGGATAGGGGTTATGTTCCTCTGTTGGCATAAAAATACAACACCTATAAGCATTTATTTAGTAATACTTATTTAATCTTGAAATTTATATATTTCAGCCAATATATAGTTCTTAGGAAGAGATTTGATCGAAAATTGGCTTTCTTGGATCTGGTAATTTAAATTCGGTTGATAGTGAGTTGGGTAAAGAAGATTTTACGATTTGTTCATTATTATTGTTTGCTACATTGCTCCAAATTAAAAAAATCCTAGGAACGCCATTGGGTTTTACCTATTATACAGAAAGATCTGTTTAAGTGTCGTTTTTTAGTTTATTTTATTGTGATAACATTGAACACAATAAATACGTGTGAATTTATAAATTGTTACATTATAAATTGTCTATACGTGAGCCCTTAAATACTGGACATATGACGTAAACATGTATTGTGTAAAACTAAAACAAATAAAATAAAAAAATAATTTTTAAATTGCGTTACATTATTTATAATAAAACGTAATACGTTTTATTAGTGAACTAAAGTTGTAAATAAATTCATCGGATTAAATGTGCATAACTACTAACATTAGTTAAATATTATTATTTTATGGTAAACACAAATTGTTTTAACGATTATTATAATATAGTCATATAGGTATAGGTAAAGGTATAAACAAGTATATGTGTAATGTATCAAGTTTTTACAATATCATTGTGGTGTTAACACTGAATTCTAAGTATAGAGGTCAATGAGTATTATGTGTAGAACGTTAGACAAGTTATTGACGGAGACTCTTATAACAAAAAATAATATATTAACCATACAAGTAGTACGGTTCATGGGATCTGGAAACTCTCCCTCCCAAAAAATTTAAGCTTCTCAAAAAAAAAATCAGATTATTTGTAGTGATGCATGTTTGGATATTAAATTATGTTTAGACACCCCTTCCCCCCCCCCAAAAAAATAGAAAAAAGAAATCCTGGCTTCATGTACGAATAAAATTATAAATGATAATAAAAAAAAGGAATTATTTAAGTATATACACTGTAGACAATTACCTACCAACATATAATTCGTAATTCGTGCATTTTTTTTAGAAATATATTTATATATAATTATAATATATAAATATCATATCATATGTGATTTTATTTGATTTAATAGTACTAGTACAAAGTATTTAAGTAGGTAGGTAGTAATGATGCATATCTAATAAATACAAGTACAGACTTGGAGCCTGCAGCACTAAGACCACTAGGTATACACATCAAATTAATCTCATTTCTTATTCTGTAGAGTCCGAAGTGTTTCAAAACACATTTGATCGGTGGTTTAGTTTGGATATGTATATATAACATCGTAGACAAACCTACCTGTAATAATATTTAAATGTGTTGTGGTGGTTTGAATTTTAATGCTATCAACTAAGATTTATAATATTTCCGCAAATATAATAATAATGTAAAAAATATCTACTTATTAAAATTGAATATTCGTAATTCTAAAATGCATAATTTGTTTAATTACGATTTTAAATAGGTTTAATTTGACTAAATACAACAGACAACAACCATAGTTAAGTAGCATATTTGTACCAATCATTATTATTATTCGTTGACATTATGTTAACCTAAACATATTTTGTATCTTTGTTTTAAACTATTTAAAAAGATTTTTATTTACTACAGTATACTATCTAAATTCTAAATGGTTAACATAAATAATTAATTGGTACATATTATGGAAATCCAAGGTTGTGTCAAAATATAATGTAATCATCCGGTAGTGGGTTCTTTAAAAATATGTATCTCATAAAATAATTCATATTTATAAATGTACAATAATATTATTTAATTTATCAAATAACTAATGATAATATTTAATCAGATTCAATTTAATTATTCTTTGTAATCGTATTACCATGCCTTTAATTTAAATAGCATCAATTATTATTATTTAAGAACATATACTATATAATACTGTGATCATATTATTTAATCGTTGTCAACTGCTATCATGTACTGACATATTATATTAAACATAATACAGGCCTTGTATAATCTAGTTGATCTTGAAATTTAAAAAAAAAAAATTATTAGATGTTTAAATATATTTGGTCCGTCAATAACATTACTGTTCTTGAAACACAATAAGGTTTATTTAAAAATACCAACTGTATTTCGTATTAATTTAAATTTCAAATTAGCGCAAAACCCAAATTTTGTTTAAGGTTTGATTTTAGATTCGGAGCGTGGATAGTGATTTTTTTAATTTTCTGTCTGAAAACAATTGTCGAAAAGAAATCTTGCTCCGATGTATAGAGTGTAGCTTTAATGAAACACAATTTTCTCTAGTTGGTGCAATAGACAAATTATTTTTTAATCTTCCAAAGGATATTCAAAATAATTGGGAAAAACCGGAAATAAAATTATAAGTAAAACGGCAAATATTTACGTTGTTTTTCGTTTTTTTAAACTATGTTTTCTACTAGAAATATTGCTCCGAACAAAAAATGACAATAGAGATAGATTTTGTTCAATTTGATTTCTAGCCACTGACAGAAAATAATAGTTGAGAAAAATACGTATTTCAAATTTTACTATAATGTAGGTATGTTTTTTTTTTGTTCTAACTGTGTACAACTTATCTATCAGCAATCTTGAACAGAATCAAAAATCGATAAGAAAACTATTTTGTACATTTTAGATTTAGTTGGTGCAGGGGAAGTCATTTTTTTATTATCTATGTAGTTTTCATATTAATTGGGATAAACCAGAAAATAATATTCGGAAAACCAAATAAATGTATAACAATACAAGTTTTAATTACTTTAAATTTTGTTTTTATTATTATTGTTCAGTTAAAAATATTTGAGGAGACCAGAATATTTTTATTAGCGTTTTCTAGTTGTAAATAATAAATAGGAACTTTTACACTATTGTTTTATTATAGATATCTACCTAGCGATAATTAAATTTGAAATTTGTATTGTTTCATATTACATGAACTACAAAATTGTTTTAATATTTTTTTATTTTATCTTTATTCCTGTTTTGCTTTACCGTATCAGTATATTAAACGAAAAAAAATAAATGGAAAATGGATAGTCGGACTAAAAGCCTCATAAACGGTCAAATAGTTTGTCAAATTTAATGTGTACAACTGTATCATTAACTACATAAATATTTTACAGCTTTTTATAGCTTGATATATATATTAGATTAGGTGCGTGTTTTTCTAATTCTAGGGAAGAAAGACTTCAATCAATTTTTGGAATTTTTTAATATTCGTCATTTTTTCCTCTTTATTTTTTTGTCTAAAGTATATGTATTTTAAAAATCACAACAAGTTATTGATAATATTTGAGAAGCTGGTATGTATGAGCGCATAACGGTGTTCTTTTTTTTTAATTCAAGGACACAACGTCCTTGTATTTAATATCATTACTACAATGATATTAAATAATTCTTTAAAAATTTTATGATACATGTACAGGAAGTTGATTTAGTCATTTGTTTCTGTACGTAATATTTCCACCAACAAATTTTCGTGAGTATATTTTTCTTTTAGTTTTAACCGTTCTTTAGACCAACACCTATGTATTTTTTTTTAATCTGTATATCTCATTTTAAATTAAGTAATAATTTGTAAGTAATAAAGGGCTATACACGATCAAATATGATATAAAATACGAACATCACGTCACGACAAGAAGAAAACCTATCTAGGGTAATTTTAATCACCCTTACTCTCAAAAAATATCATTTTTTAATTCAATATTATATAGATTTGAATGTATTCCATTAAATAAACATAATTATCAACACGAACTCAATATTATCTATAATATAGCCCATACAAATAATTTCAATTTAGATACTATTAAAAAAATGCATAAACGTATTAAAGAAAAAATAATACACAACTCACCAAATAATGTAGTTTACTATTGTAGTATGAAATGTCAAAATAATATGTCTAACGAATTCGCTAAAATTCTGAACAATAATACAAATAATTTAAAAATCGCTTTTAAGACTAATAATAATTTAATCAAACATATAAACAATAGAACTAAAAACTACACAAAAAATCCCCTTTATTTTGAAAATGCTGGTATATATAAATTTAAATATAACTGTAATAAATTGTATGTAGGTAAGATAAATAGAAATTTGAAAATAACATACAAAGAACACATTTCTGAAATAAAATTTAAAATAATTGTCCCTAATTCGAATTTTGTTAATCATGTTTTAGAAAATAACCATAAGCTTTGATATTAATACAGACTTAGAGATATTAAATACCCAAAATAACATTTACATTAATTTAGTTTTAAATTAATTACATATTGTATACAATGAAATGAAGAAAAATTATTTTAATAATATTTTAAATATATAAACCAATTTTAAAAATAATATCTTAAATCAATATGTTTTAGATAATAACCTAATAATTTATATTTCATAACATATCTATGACTAATTATAACTCATTTTAAATAATCTCTCCTATAAAAATACATTGTTTCTATGTAAAATGACTAATTTGTATAATTTTTTTTCTACGTATTCTTTCATTTAATTTTTCGCATTCAGTGATGTTTTACATTTTGACTGATATACCTGATGATGAATTTTCAATTCGGAACTTGTCGTATAATACTTCAGGCGACGCATTCATTTATTTATTTTTTATTTTTGTCTATACATTTTTTATTTATATATTTATTTACGAGTATTAAACATTTTAATTTAATTTTTACTTTATTATATTATTACACCGAGTAATACTGTAATGTTGTTACTGTACTAAAAAATACAAAGATTCAAAGATGTCGTTTTACGTGTTTTAACTTTTCACTTGCCTACCCTGTACAGTGCATAATTTTTTGTTTTTTTTCGTCCATATTACCAAAGTAGCCCATTCTATTTCAAACCAATAATAGACCGGTAAACAGTCGATTTTTTTATTTTAAGTTGTTATAGTTATGACATTTTTTTTTTTGTTTACTATTTATTTTTAATTTAATCCGTGTTACTAAGGTAACCAATAATTTAACAATACTAAAAATACAAATCTCAAAATACCTAAAAACCTTTAGTCTCCTACAATTTTTATTTCCGCGACAAAAAGTAGCCTGTTTTTTTTTCCAAGGTCCCATCTATCTCTATACCAAAATTCATCAAAATTATTTCAGTGGTTTAGGCGTGAAAACGTTAATACGATTTTTAATGAAAATTAAAAACCTGATTCATTTTTCTTCTTCTTCTTTTCGTTTGTTAAATTGTTTTTCATCAATTTAGATATACTTAATTGATGAAAGTAAAATGTTAAGCTATATATTTAGTTGAAACTGTGTAATTAAACACGTTTTCTCTGTGGCCATTTAAAAAATTATTACAATAAAAAAAATAATAGATCAACATGGTTTATAAGACAACTTTGATATCTATTCTTATAGAATTATAATATATGTTTGTATCATTCGTATGTAACACCATTTAGCCAACCAGCTACATTCACAAAAAGTTAATAATTGTCAATTTAGTACCTACATAGTTATAATTTATAAATGTTATGACTTATGAGTCATACTACCATGTTGAACACAATAAAATACTTGAATACGCTACAAAATTATTTTAAATTGTCCATTCGCTCCATTCAGAATCTTAAACAGGAATATTTAATGAAAACAAATGTCACAAAGAGATCATTTTGATTAGGTAAATATTATTTTTTCTTCTACCCTTATATTTTTCTTGTAGAAGTATTTTTTTCCAAAATAGACATCTACCTTATAAATAATATTGAGTTTTATTGTTTATTAATAAACATTGTCATGTTCAAGGGAAAGATCATTAGTAATATCCTCACTTCCCTGCTAATTGGTTTAAAAATACAACTATGAGTATGTATTTAGTAATTTTATCTTGAAAGTATATATTTCAGCTAAGTTACATGGAAAAAAGCTCGATTTATTGAATAAAAAATGTTTGGATTAGGCTTTTAAATTTTCACTAAGTTATAACCGAAGAAGGTTCTTTTAATTTTTCACGAATCATGATTATTATTAACTAAATTTTCCCTACTATTGAAAATTCTTGGAATGCTCTTGTACATAAGTATAGTATGTATAAACTAGTTATAGTATAGTTATATGAATAGGGATCGGCTAATACCACTTTTTGATGATCCTCGATATTTTAAATTGAAAACCATGAGTTAATATTTCAGAAATTAACCGTTATATTGATTGAAACCCCGATTTATTAATACTTTTTTCATAATTCAAAGATGCAATGGAAATTTTTCTCTGAACATATCGGTTTTGAAAATAAACAGATATCAACCTATATCAATTATCGGTTTGTCTATATCCACTCACATTGTTATATAATGAAAACAACCAAATTGAATTATATTTACAAAATATTAAGAATAAGGGTAATTAATTTCACACACATAATATCAACGCATATGTACTAAAAAAAAAAAAAAAATAATAATAAATCAAATCAATACTAAAACAACTCGATAATTATAATATAACATATATTTCATAAAATTATAAAATGTATTAACGTATATGCCTAATTAAATAAAATCAGGGTCTTACTAAAACATTAGGAGATTATAATTATATAATGGATATAAATATATGAACTTCAACCATAAGCCCATACAGTTAAATATCTATTATATAGAATAATACATTTCCTACCTATGTGTTATTATTGTCATATGAATTCAAAAATTGTATCAATTTTAATAAATATATAATTAATGTACCTTGTGTAAAATGAACAATTGCGTTTTATATATATATGTATATTATAAAAAAAAAAATGTTTCATGTGAATAGACTTTTTTTTCGCTCCTTACTAAAACTTTAATGGCTTTAAACATATTTTGTTTTGTATCAAATCAATCGAGCTTTTTGTTTTATCATAAATGTAATGTATTTATATTAATGTTTCACATTTTATTAAGTAGGTAATTTATAAACGATAAAACAGAATATAAAATAATATACCTATACTGTGTCTTAAAATAAATTAAAAACAATTTATTAAACAAATAGTTAACAAAAATATTAAGTACAATGTAATATATTGTGTTTTAAATTCATCATCCAAATGTTACCCTGTCTAGTACCCGATTCCGTAACAAATAAGAAAACTTGGATTACTTTTTAGTTTTTATCCAGCCTTAATATTGTAGTATTATTATCCTACTATTTAAACGGAGATCCTACTCTCAAATGTTTAACCTTTTGCCAGGGTGTAACCCCTCGGTGTTCACTTTCGATTGGTTTCGAATAGATGTCACCACCCAATTCTTCCACAGAAATTTCTACATCTTCTTTTGCTTTTGAAACTGCTTGGTCGATTTCTGATTTAATTTCACTATCAATTTTCTGAAAAAATATGATAAATATATAAAGAAAAATAATAATTTATATTTATTCTTATAAAATATTTCAACTCACTTTGAGATCGTCTACGGTTGCCAAGTTCGTAGAAAGTATTTTTTCTTTAAATGATGTAATTGGGTCTCTAGTCATCCGTACAGCTTGAATTTCAGCTCGAGTTCTATAGGACGTACCAGGATCAGACATTGAATGACCGGAATATCTGTAAGTGACTGTTTCTAAAACGATCGGTCCATTTCCATTAGTACAATAATCCACTGCAAACTTAGACGCTGCATTAACTGCCAACACGTCCATACCATCTACCTACATTTTAACATTACATTATTATAATAATTATTAATTATAAGGTGGTTATCAAATGATCTTAAAGAAAAAAATCAAAATATTGTGAATTACTCATAATAGGGTAGGTGCGTATTTTCATTGCTAATTTTAGATTTGGGAGCGGAGCGAAGGATTTATTGGTTTTACTATGATATATCTGTGTTTTTTTCTGCCTATAAAGAACTTTTTGAAAAGAAAACTGCTCCAATACACAAAATGTAGCCAGCGCCGTGTCTAACAAAATCGGTACTCGGTCGCAGAAAAATTTAACGATGAACAACAAAAGGCCCATCCTGTCCGTTAGTCGTTCACTCATACGCTTATTATAGACATATTCAATTTCAGAATTTAAAAGTGTTCAAATGGCGCCCCTACAGTACATAGACACCTCTCGCACCCCTCCTAGGAACGGTCCTGAGTGTAGCACCTTTTCTGAGAGAAAATTTGATCTTGTTGTATCATTAAAGATGTCATTTCCTGATTAATTTAGGGGCTTTTTAATAATTAGGAAAAACCGAAAAAAACATAAATTGTAGCGTAGTAATTTTTTTATTATGACCTTACAAATCATATGCTAACGAACTTCGTCCAGAGTCATTTTTCGTTAGTAATGGTTTATCGTTTCTTACAAATATAAATTAAATAACTTTATGTATCCTACCTTTCTAACTTCACACATACAACAGAGGAGCGTCTATCAGCGATATCAGCTCCTTTTTTTTTTAGAAATATTTTGAATTAGTTTATTAAATTTTTAGTTTTTTTTGTTATTGTATTCATAGTTGATAGTTTTAATTCTTTTTAACTCTATATTGAAAGTGTATTTTCAAAATTCTTAATATAGTATGGCTAAAGTTTTAAAAAATTCACTGGACATGTAAAATGTCTGACTTTTTAATCATTATGAACATGGAAGGAAATATAAATAACTAAACTTTAACAATTCGGCGAGCAATAGGGTCGGTCACACTATTTTTACCCAAATTCCGGGTATGTAATCGCCTCTTGTGTAGTAAGCTGTATTCGACGCGGACCGTTCTGAACTTGTTCCCATCGCATAACCATTGTTCTCACACACAAATACGCATGGAAGATTCCATAATTTTGCCATGTTGTATGCTTCGAACACCTGTCCTTGATTCGATGCTCCATCTCCATATAAAGCAAAGCAAACTCCTCCCGTACCTAAGTATTTGGCAGCTAACGCAACACCAGCTCCTAAAGGAACCTAAATAAAATAAATAATTAACGTGGTTATACTATAAAAAAAGACGCTCTAGGATAATGGGGGCGGGTGCAGTTATTGTTATAGGTAATTTAATACATACCCGTAAGCAACGATAAAACATTGCTTACGAAAAAACTGAGTGGAGTTCAGTTGATAGTGATGCTTTGTCAACAATATATATGCCATATCATAGTAAAATGATATATTTATATATTTTCTTTAATAATATTTGTTTAATGTTGTACCGATTTTCCCGGTTTTCCTACGTTTTTCGTAAAAAAAAAAAAAAAAAAAAACATCTTTGTATAACCATTAGCTTCTTCTCTCCACTCAGAATCAATCAACGATTTTAATCCTTTCACTTTCACTGCACAGTATAAACAGCTGTTAAAATTATCTGTATGTACAAAATAGTATTGACTAAATAATTACAGTGGTCATTTTTGGTAACTCGATTAAGTGAGGGTGTCAAATTACCTATAGTTAACTCACGTATATTATATTAATATAGGTAATATTAGTTAGGTAAGTATATCTATTAAACGAAAATTGTCATTAACCTGAGCGCCGACAATGCCGTTACCACCATAAAAGTTTTTACAGTACATGTGCATAGAACCACCTTTTCCACGGACTATTCCACTGGCTCGGCCGGTGAGTTCGGCGAGTACCTCCAAAGGTGAGGCGCCCATCAAATAAGTCCAACCATGTACACGGTAAGCTGATATTATAGAATCTTGTTCACGAAACGCAGACTTCATACCAACCGCACATGCTTCCTGTTCCCCAAAATATATTTATATATATGTATTATAGTCGGTATGCTATTAAAATAATTCCTATAGAGTAGACTTCTAATTTTTCAATCTTAATGTATCATCTAACCTGTCCAGAGTACAAGTGACAGAATCCTCTGATGATTTTCTCCTTGTATAGATTACCGGCTGCCGTTTCTATACGTCTGATGTATTGCATTTGCTTGTAGTAAGATATGGCGTCAGTTTTAGTTACATTTACTGTAGTGCTGGGTCCAGATTCTAGTTTATGAAGTTTGAACGGCTATAAAAAATCCAAAAAGTTTTAGTAGGACGTTAATTTTTTTAAATATGCTGTATGCAATAATATATGCTAGGACAATATATACTATACTTACAAATTATACTTATGACAAAAACAAAGTTATTAGAAACAGATATAATATGTTCTGTCTTAAATTTTGTAAAAACAAAAAAAGGAAAAAAAATGATGCTGCCACTGGTGTAGGTGATATTTTAGGAAGATTTTATTATTATCTATCTGTACACATCAATAAATTAATGCTAACAATGTACGATTTTGAGCAAAGTTCACTTAAACATGTTTGGAAATGCTGTGATTTTTACGATACTCGTCAAAATTTGAACTTAAACAGTTAACAAATAAATTAGGTATTTCATAAAGCTCCACTTTTTTTTACCATTAGGTAAAAATGATTATAAACCACGTGTGTAATTTTGAAACATTTTTATTTGGCCAAAACAACTTTATCCATATTAATAAAGAAATTATACTGATGCGAAATGACGTGATTTTTTAAATTTATATTGAAATTTGAACTTTAAATGTATTGGTAATGTACATATTATATAAAATTACTACATTGGCCTAAACTTTTTTTTACCGTGAATTACAACTTATTATAATTTGAATTATAATTATTAATAATAGAATTTATTTTAAAATAAATACGAATTTGGGAAAATTTAAGATGAAATTACAAATAAGAATGTCAATGTAAAAAATAGAAAAATAAACTAATTATTTGGTCTTTTCACAGTAAATAATCTTATTAGCTGTTTTTTTTTTTTAATTATTATATCAAATATATGTTTAATATGATATGAGTATATTTTAAACATGTAAAATTGAAAGTTTATTATAGTTTTATCGTTCACAATTTATAGTACAATATTATATTATTATTCATAATAATTCTTGATTCAAAAATTTAAAAATTAAGCTATGTTTTATAAACGTATCCACTATAATTAAATTTGTATTATCTACAACGAATAAATAATTTGATATTTCTTTCTTGTACCTAACTAATTATAGGTTTGAAGACTAGACAAATAACTACACGTTAAGTATTAGTCCAGAAGCGGATTAGCGTATAGGGAAATCGAGAATTTTTCTGTTGTACCGCCAGACCGGTATTCGTTTAATTATAGGTAAACCTACCTAAAAGTGCTTAACTCACATCTTAATATATATCTTATACCTTTTTTCATGGTCATTAAATATAGTTCGAACCGCTAGCGGCGTATAAATTAGATAGGTAAACAAGGATCTAAAATATATCTACGAGTACTTGCATGTAAAAAGAATCGAAAATGCGAATGACCGTGACCAACGGTAGGTATTTATAGAATCGACAAAAGGCCTTCATGAGGCCAAATTTGTGCACTGTTTTTAGACTCAATATCAAAACTTGTAATTATAATGCAAAGTAGGTAATTCAGTAGGTAATTTTTAAAATCCAATTCCATCCTTAAGTACTACCTTCTCTGGAAATCTTCTAGATTTTAGATTCTGTGTGGAGCGAAGAATCGTATGGTTTTACAAAGATGTTTTTTTCAAATTTCTTTTTCTGTGGACAACTTTTCTACCAAAGATCTTGCTCCGATTTTTAAGTGTAGCGCCTTTTTTGAAAGGAAATCCAATTAATTATATTACTAAATATTATAGATATAACTAAATGCTAATTATTAGTTGTGTATACATTTCTTTACGTTGTTTTACCGATCGATTCCCATTTGTAACCGTTTACTTGGAATAGAAATTTCCAAACTAATTGCTACGTTTGCTTTACATTTTTAGTCCATTATAATGAAATATTTTTTTTTAAAATATAAATAAAGACGCGTTAACAAAAAAAAAAAGAAAAAGATAAAAGAAATTGACAATCTTTGACAATTGACACTGCTGTCGAATAAATTGAGTTTTGAGTACTGAGTACTAAGCGTTTGAAAACTACACTGTCAGTTATGTAAATACTGTCAATAATTGTATTGCCAGTATTACTGATCGTGTGAGGGCCACTTAAGGTCGATTTTTCTAAATTGTCTATTAGTTGGACTGAGACAGCACATGCGGGTATAGCGTCATCTTAAGAGTTTAATTTTCTTAAAAAAGCGGGCTCACCTTACTTTTAAAAGAATGTAACTACAAAAAATTCTCTGAATTATGATCTAATTGCAAACTCCTCTCTTAACTTAACTTCTAGATTCATATTAATAGTACCGAGTGTGAGTTCTCTATATCCTCGTGATTTCTAGAAATATTTCCTTGATCTAGAAGAAGCATTCTTCAATTCCTTTAGAAGTACACTATGGGTATTTTACTTCTACTTACGCCCCAGAGTCAGCTTCTCTTTATTCAAAATACTTCGCACCCGTTACTAAGCCTCTCAACCTAATCTGAATAGGCCAGGCGAGTTACCGAGTTGAACTCAGTGGGCTACGTAAAATTTGGGCTGCCTTAGTAATATATGGCCAAAAGTATTTGAATACCTCGAATTCTGAACCATAAAATATGAGTACAAAATACTTCACAGTCAACAACCATTCATGATTGAAACAATAACAGGTGTAGTTATGTTATTAATCGGATATTGATAGTTGTCAGAAAATTGATAATGGACTATAGATACAATACTTTTCTGTTGCCAACTGTTTTCTTTCGGAGTATCATAATTATGTACTACGGAACATGTGTATTGTCATGACTTTTCTATTTCAAAATATGACCTGTAGACGTTGTTTTTCCCATTTCCCTCCTTTATTTCCACTCGACTTGTTTTATGTTTCAAAATTCCTCTTTATTCTTCCCTTTATTTCTCTTGTTTAGAAAATGTTTGGACAAACGTGTTTTTCCAATGGTTTGGAAAATCTGTTCAATCACTTCTATTTTCAAGACTCCTGACTCATCCCTTGACAATAATGGCTATTCGATTTTCATATCATCTCATATTGCTAAAATATTTGAATCCATTGTTGAATCCATTCAACGATATAGACGTACGGCTTAAACTTATCTTTCTTAAAAACTATGTTTTCTGTTAGAAATATTGTGCAAGTCAAAAAATGTTAAGAGACCTTTTTTATTGAATTTTTAATGTAGTTAGTGAGTAAGATTTTTAAGTTAGTGAGAATTATTTTTTTTGATTTTCGATGTATTTATTTAATAATTGAGCAGAACCGAGAAAAAACGTAGAAGGAACGATACAATTTGCAAAAATAATGCTTTAACTATTTTCAATTTTGTTTTTTTTTTCGTTATTCAAGTAAAAATAATCATAGACTTAAAATAGTCTTTTCTAGACATGCTAACATTTAAAAAAGCATTTAATCCATTTTTGAACTATTTATAGATATTTAATTTTTCGAGTATTTTACGTAATTTTTATTTGGTAGGTACTCTGTGAGTAAAATTGTTTAACCAAACAGAAATGCTTGAATATTAACAGGTAGTTCACTATAAGTTGTACTTAGTGGTCAACAAGAAAAAGTTAAGTTTAATGTAGTTTTTTTTTTTTTTTTACAAGAGTTAATATCAAATTTTGACGAAAATCGTAAATATTACGACTTTTCAAAACATGTACAACCGAACTTCGCTCCGAATCGTTTTCCGTTAGAAATAGTTAACTGTTGTTTATAAATTAAATAACTTTATGAATCTTACCTTCCTTACTTCTTACACCTACAGCAGTGGCACACCCATCCCCATTATCAGCTCTTTTTTAATTATATATTAATTCACAATTATGAATTATAATTGGTATGGGTAGTGATTTTAATAGTTGGTTCTGAATTAGAAATGTATTGTCTACATAATGTGTTTCAGAAGTTATTTATTTAATCATGTAATTAATAATTATTATCGAACTTAATGTTTCTTTCTCTGCTATACTTATATATAATAATTTCTGAAAAGTTTACAATTTTAAAATATTAAAAAGTCGCTTATTCAGCATCATATATATATATATATATATATATGCATATCTAAATGTTTTACTGTTGAAAAAAATAAAAATAAAATACAAAGTTACAAACTTTTGTTTCAAATGTGGCATCAGTTGCAAGAGTTCTACATGACCATGACGTGGATGTTAATTTCTGTAAAAAAAAAAAATAATAAAAAGCCTAAAATAAAACTCATATTCATATGTGTATTTTATTAAATAACGTGGATTTTATTATTATATATATATTAAACATATATACAATATATACTGTTTATAATGACACCGGTTGCAGTGACATATATTGGGTGTAATGACATTAGATTGAAGATTTCGGCAAAACTCCTATAATGTATGTACTAATTGGTAAGGAAATTTGGAAAATTCTGTTCTCCCATAATGACTGTATTAAACTGTATTTAATTTTATAGTAATAAAACAACTTTTTTTGTATTTTTATGACAATCGGTTATTTTGATTAATTTTAACTAGTCCCTTGAACGTCATTATAAACGGTTTATACTGTAAATATAATATATATGTATCAATTATGAATTACACTTTAATATAATACCTGAATTTATTAAAATCTATAGTGACTTTAATAATTATTAAATATGATCAATGATATCTTAACTATGGTACCTACCTATAATTTAAACATTATTTTATTGAAACTGAATAAATATATTTTAAACGAATAGGTTTTTTCAGATAGATCCACTATAGTAATTTAAAAATTTCGTTTAGCCGTTTAGAAATATATTTTGTTTGAAAGTTTGAAGTACCTATATACCTGTTAATTTGTATCATAATAGAGCATAGTCAGTGTTTATGTATTCGTATCATGTATATGTGACTTATATTTTTTTTAATCTCATATTCTCAAGTACCTATTCGTAAAATTTTTCTTAAAAAAATAATTGGGTACGTGTATAATATTATTACCGAATAATATGGAATAATAGACTAAGGGCCAATAGGCAGTTTATTATCTATAACAATAAGTAAGTGGCGGAGAAGAAGAGCAATGCAGTACACATTATAAGTATTACCTAAGCACCTATAAATTATACTAAAGTACAAAACTGTTTCGCGTTTCTCCTCTTTACTTATAGGTATATAATTTAAATAGTGATAAAAATAATGAACAATTGATTTAACATTCCAATGGTGTTTTAATAAAAATACCAAAAACGTCACACAAGTTAAATAATATATGTTTTCGAAATGATTCGTGAGGTACCGGTGCACCTTAAAATACACGTTTCATGTTTTATTATAAACAAAAGTTTTATAATTGTATTGATTGTTGATAGATTATAGGTACAAGTATATTATATTGTTTGTTTATTAATTTGCATTGGCATAGTTCTTAGTTATACGCGGTAAGGTGGCTATAATTATAGTTTATAGAAATGTATTGATTCACGTACAAAACTCAAGGATGACCTCAGTTATACACTTTAAAAACACACCTACTATTTTTTTAACAAAAAAATATATGCAAATGAAATAAACTTTAAACAGTCATCTAAACGATCAGTTAAAATAAATTACTATTTCACCTTATCATTTAGATACTAACATTTTTTCATATTATTAAAAAACAAATTTTGTTTATGTGCAGATATTTATGGCACCGTTTTATATTTATGCGAATTATAAAAATAAATTAGACATAGTTATTATTTATGTCTGATTTATACTTTGTCTGTCTCACCGTATTTGGTCAATCACTTAACACATATAACAATATACGTATATACCGTAATGTACAGTTTTTTTTTAATCACTGAAAATATTTATGCATGGGTATTAGGGTAAACATAAAATTAAAAAAAAAAAAAAAACCGTTAGGTACTACACAAATACGATTATTTGAAACGATATACACACCGGGTAAAATTACAATCCTACAGAACAATAAGAGAATGCGCGTTGTATAATAGGTACCGAGGCTATACGCATATATATAGGTTAATAACTCTACTTAACTTATTGATTTTCAAAAGAGAAGTTGTCTGTTTAACATAATAAAATATTATCATAATCCACCAGCCAATTCTCTACAAACCTCCTGCCCTTTGACACAACGGGTGTATCGCTATGCGTGTCGTCGTTTACCTGAACGATATTTGGCCCAGAGCCCGTGGTACGTACGGAAATAAACCCACGATACCCGGTGAATTCGACGCGAGTCTGTTGACCTCGTCGATCACACGCTTTAGTATACTGCAGCCGGTATAATCGCGTAAATAATGCGCCGATGGAGAAAATATTTTATTATTGTTGTAATCTCGCACCCTTAAGGTTTTTGTCGCGGTCGACGACTCGGTACAATAAGAACGGTGCATAAAAAATCTTAATAATAATACTCGCGTTATAATAGCCGAATACCGTGTATAATAATAACGAGTGTAACGAGTACTGCTGCTGTATTTTTTTTATTCTTTTTACCTTCAGAGCGTTGTGGATAGCGGCCTTAGTGGTTATCATCGTGTGGCCGCGGCGATCGGGAAGAATATAATATTACAGCGGTGATACGAAAGTTCAACACCGGAATGGCTGCGGAACGAGCAGAAGCCGTGGACGGCTTGACGTCGTTGACGGTGACTGGTCGCAGATGGAACGGCGCGCGCGTGACCGGACCGTTATCGCACTACAACGGTGTATACTGACGTGGGAAAATGTGTGAACGCCGCCGTCGCGACGGTGTTTCGAATCGATGTTGGGGCAGGTCCATGTAATATGGGGAATACACCGCCGTTCGGTACACCGGTCGGCCCGTCAGAGGGCGCACTCGTTCTTCGGGCGTCGGGGACGTTTTCCAAAATACCGCCTCCCCCCCCCCCAATCCCGTCCGCAGTAGCGTGCCCGGGAATTTTCCAAGGGAGGGGATGCGCGGAAACAAATATAATAATCGCGAATAAATCGTAGAATTTTCTTCTTTGATAGTTACCAAACCGGCTAACAGTGGACATTTAAAAACCGAATTCTGCAATTTGTATTTAATAAATCGAGCTTTTCCTCGGGTAACTTGGCTGGGATACGTTTCAAGATTAAATTAGTAAATCTATATTCTATTATAACTTAAAGTTTTTGTATTTTGAAACCAATTGGTGGATATAACTCTGAACCCCCCCCCCCCTCTCCCGCCCCCCACTGACTCCTACGTAGTTGCGAACGCTATGGAAATGCGTAATCTATGACTATCCGTGGTATATGGATCTGCTCCCTTTCTCCGGGCAGCCAGATTTGTCGTGGTTTTTCTTCTTGTAGCTAAGAAGGTAATCCAAAGATTAACAAAAATAAACCAATGAATCGTCATTTGTTGGAATTTTTTTTAAACGATTCAAAAAAAGAAACCGTTGGGAATTTAGAATATCAGTGCTGTATCATAGTAAATCGAAGTAAAATTGCTGGTAAAAAATTTTCCGCAGAAAAAATAATATTTCTCGCTCCACTTCATATCTAAAAGTAGTACATTTCTTTTTTTTTTCTTTGTTATTAAAAACCAGTTAAAATATAAAGTAATGTTAGTTATTATATTATATTAGGTAAACAGAAATATTGCATAAATAATAACTTTTTATCAATTCATTATAAATAGTATTACTGTTAACAAATAAGATGGCCATAACGATATAAAAAAAAAAAAAACGGACTTACTTTGTACAATGAATGGGCCACTGTTGTGGGTGAGATGTTGGGAAGGTAGAAGGGAAATTTAATGTATGTCTGTGCATTACTAACGAAAAACGATTCAGAGCGAAGTTTCTTTTATACATGTACACACATTTTTTCGTTTTTCCTATGGTTTTCACGATTATTATGAAAACCGCAATTATTGGAAAATCACAAAATGACCTCCTTAAGGTACCATTCAGTTAAAATTTCCTTTAAAAAAGAGGTACTACACTTGACAATCAAAAGCAACATTTCTGATAGACAAGTTGTTACACAGAAACAAAAAAAAAAATAAAAATATTATTGTGAAAATAATCCTAACCCTAATAATTAAAATAATTATTATAATTGTTGTTGTTGCCTTATCCATGAGATTTGTGACTGTTTTAAACAAGTTAACAGTCGAGGATCACAAGATACTGACTTGAGGCTTAATGTGAGAAAAAATATTTATAAATATTGTTGTAGAACCAACACATTCCTTTTTCCGCCCATAATCTAAAATTAAAAAGTGAATTTTAATTATATTTAATTTTGAACATTTTTTTTTTTTTATATTCACTGATAAATATTAAAATTCCCTTACCTTCCCAAATTTCTCACTTACAACAGTGACCCACTCATCGTGCGAAGTATGCCCGTCTTTTTTTTTGACCACGAAAATTGTTGTACTATTTCCTGGCTCATGCAATACTTTAAGTTTGACATGCCTGCACACGCATATACACGTATACATTCAAATATTTTAGATTCTCAGTGGAGCGAAAAAACTTATGGTTTTACTAAGATGTTTATATATTTTTTTTTTGTTGCGGACAACTTTTCTACAAGAGAACTTGCTCCGATTTTTACGTTTAGCACCTTTTCTAAAAGGAAATCGGTGTGGAGAGATACTTAAAGGAAGTCATTTTTCGATTTTCTCAAGAGTTTTTTCAACAAATTTGAAAAACCAAAAAAAAAACAAGGAAAAAGTATGAAAAACGGGAAAATTGATATATTAAAAAATTATTATTAAAAATAATATATAATGCCTCTTTTATTATTTTACCATAATATAACATATATATATATTGCTAACAAAGCATCACTACCAAATTAACTCTGTTCAGAATCGTTTTTTCGTTAGCAATGGTTAATCATTGCTAACAAATATACATTAAATTACCTATAACAGTGGCTGCACCCGTCCCCATTATCCTAGGACGTTTTTTATTCTTGGAAACACGTTAGAATGAAACATTAGAATGCTTGGAGTTAAGTATGACCGGAATAGCATTTTACATTATAGTGATTTTTATGAAAAGTCTTTATATTATGTAATGACACAATATTATAAATTAAATATTTTCGTATAATGATCAAAAATGTTCATGATACTTTTATTATATTATTAGTATGTACTAGAATTGTTTTCAATTTGTAAAAATTCTGATGCCCCTGGGGTGGGACAAGTGCCCTTAATGCCACCCTTAAATCCGACACTCCGGAATATCGAAGATCGACAATTTATCATTCATGAGTATATTCGTTTTAGTCTAAAACTTATAATAATAATATATAAATATCGCGTGGAGTGACATGCGAATACTTTTAGAATCTGAGCGTTTAGCGAGAAATGTTTTGTTTTAACTATTAAATGTGTGATATTTAGATTCCGAATGTAGCGAGGAATACAGTATCGTGTTCGTCGACGTTCACGCATATGTTTATTATGAAAATATCCAAAACTTATAAAATTTTCATTGATGCCTCTCTGGTCTGTATTTGACGCCCCTTGGTCTTAGTGTTCGGTGTATATGCACCTCTCGCACCGCTCTAGGCTTCGGAGGAGTGTATTGGTTTTACTATTTTATAAAAGATTTTTTTTTTTTTTTGTAGATGTCTTTGAGCAACTTTCTATCAGAAATTTTGTACCAATTAAAAAATTACAAGAAATTTTTTTTGTTATATTTTGGATCTAGTTATTAGAACATTTTTGACGGAGATCATTTTTCGATTTTTAAAGCAGGTTTCACAATTAAGTGGGAAAAACGGATACATTAACAGCGGTAATATTTCATTATTTCCGATTTTATTTTTCCACCAGTAATTTATTGAGCATCGAAATTCAAGCGTAAATAACAGTGGCGCAATAACCGGGGTAGATGGCAATGCCTAACATCGGGTCCCCAAAGCTCAAAGGGGCCCTATCATAGTTGAAAACTGGGAGGGTATTTTTGGCGCGCTAGATTCAATGACTCAAATAAAATCTGCGATTATTTATCATAAATCATAAATTGTTTTTTTATTATTTATATTGCGTAATTAGTGTATTGTAGTATTTTGTCTAGTTTGTGTTTAATAACAAGAAACTATTTTGACATAGCCAGGTAGATATATATATCTACCTACTGTTTATTAATATTAAATCTGTTATGCACCGGCATGTAACTCGCTACAGTTTACAATAATAAATTAATAATAATCTTCCATACCATTAAGATTGCGCGCTCTAGTGTTTTACTCGTCGTACTATAAACTCATTGAATACCTCTATTTTATTCTAGCGCATATTATATTGACTCGAGACTAGTGAGTTTTACAAAAATCGATTGTGGGGCGTTAGGTTGACGGAAATTTGAACCCCTCGAACGACCAGATTCATTATTATACCTATCATCGATAATTGTCCCATGTATATTGTACGTTTCTACCAAAATATCACATTGACAACAATTGTATCTCAAAATAAATTATATAGGTCAATTAATTTAAATGAATTCAAGTAACAATGTGAAAAAAAAATATCATTACCATTTTACATTTTATTGTTTTAATTAGCCAGCAGAGAAACACACCAACGTCACCAACTATATTTACATACTTATTATAGTAACAAGACACCTACTATAGTAAAATAGGTGTACCTAGAGTGTCTAGATAAAAATAAACAATCTTTTACAAAAATATAAGTATGAAATCAGTTGGAGAGAAAGTGAAGACTAATAATTATAAGTGCTGCTTTTTATTTTATGCGTGGATAACAACGTTAAAAAATTAAAAAAATAGTCATAAGACCGACTTCTATAATGGAAATATTCACATGTGAATTTAAAATATGCATCAAGACATTTAGATTATCAAACTTTGTTGAACTCTCTTCGAAACGCAGTTTGTACATTATTAATTTTATTTTTCACAAATACTTTACCTTGGGCATTCAATTTTTCTTGAGAATTCAATTATAGCGTCAGTATCATGTATTTTGCATGTAAATGTTCATTTTCGGTAAATTACTTTTTATGTTCTATAAGGATGGATGGCTTTTTCAATATAAAATGAAGTGATGTGTGGATTCTTCATCAGAAACAAGTGATAACGAAATTGTATACTGAAAGGAATGAAAAACTACATAAAATTTTTTTTTTCAATAAACAAAAATGAATCAATAGAACTAAGCTAAATAGAAACATGTAATTTGTTATGTGTATTTTGCATTAAATATCAAAATTGTGTGCTATTGATTAACAAACAAGTAAGGCGCCAAACACGTTCGCTGTAACAACACCGGCATTTGGCACAAACACACAATCGCCTTTACGGTCAACAGGCTGATCACCCAACAGCACAGACACACAAATACGCGGTGTTGACAAAAAATACCATACGCGGTCCAACCACGGACCACGGAATGGACGGACATATTTCATACATTCTGTAGCCAAAACATGTTTGCAGACAGATGCATTTTAAGTACGGGGACTTTAAAAGCAAGATCGTGATTTTACTTAAGCTTATCGTTACATTTCATAATGTGAAAATCCTAGTCGAATAATGTATAATTGAAAATGTATTGTTACATTATAGTTTATATCATATTTGCCTCCTGGATAACAGTACTGCTTACCGGTATTATCAGGGCACTATAGAACCATGTTTATAGCGACTTGGTATAAATTTATTTGGCACATTTTATAATTTGATAACATTGTTAATTAAAACCACAGATCAGGTTACACTGATCCGTGTTAAAACCAATAGCAATTCAGATTATTTTTCATTTTTTAATTGAAAAAAAGGAATACTATTGTACAAAATAATTATTGATAATTGCCATTTTAAGGCACTCTAGGTATACCTATCTAATTATAGTATTGTTTTTAATTGTTAATTGGAAAATTGTATTTTATACATTACCTAGTTGAATTTTTATTTTTATTCTTTTATCTAATATTCTGGACAAAAAAATAATAATATTCACCATCAGCTACTATCGTGTCTGTAGTAGTATCTACTATCTACTATCATAGTGAAAAATAACTGACGTAATGATTTCTTATCATCTAACATATCATAACATTCTTATCATTACAAAATAGTAGTTTGGTAGTAAATTGTTAAACCTAATAAGTATTTCACAGGCTAACTACCACAAAAATAATACTGAATAATACCTATCTATCGAACATCAGTAGACGTGTTTTTTATACTCTGTTTGCTATTTGTTTTTATCATTGCTTGTTATACACTTTTAATTTTTAACTTCATTTAGTACCCATTTCATTTTATTGTGTCATTTGAATTAAAATATCTAATATAATATTTATAATCTGTATAACACCACAGAATCATGGATAATCCAGCAGACAAGTCTGCAAAAAATAACGATACTTTGAATAAACCAATTAAAACGTCAAAAAAACCCCCATTCACAAAGCCCACGTCAAAAAAGCCTATGCCAACAGAAGATGGTAAATCAAACAAAGAAATTAGAGAAAACTACTTTAAACAGCTTCGATCATGGATGAATACTGTAAATAGTTATCAGTGCTATTATAATAAGTTGCAAGAAGATTTAGTCCCAAAGAAAACTAAACAAGTTCCAAAAAGTCCTATTGAGGTTCCTAATCCTCCTATTCCTGTACCTAATGTACCTGAAACACCAAATGTTACATCTACCCAATTCGTGGGTAAGTCTAATTCATTAATTAATTTGTGTTAGTCATTAATTATTTTATATATCTATAATTATTTAGGTATCAGATGTCAAGTACCATCTTTGTGGAAACGTTTTGGAGCCGAATTCATTGATTTTGTTCTGCTGAGTTTACTTAAATTTGTGGTCGCTTACTTTGTAGTGGAATCATTTATGGACATGTAAGAATATTATGTATATTGCTATTTGATAAAATGTAAACTGCCCAAGTTTAAAAATTTAAAATTAACGTGTTCAAACTAATTATGATTTAACCCAAGAGCAAAGAGAACGGTAAACTATAATTGCCTTTGACAGACTGAGTTATAAATTAATGAAATTAATTAATACATAATGAAAATAATGATTTAATTTTTTATAATGAATTTGCTCAATAGATTATTGTATGAATATCAATTAATGCAATTTAACATGAAGCCAGAATATTAAAAAAATCTTTAAGAAATGCAAATTCACCTTTCACATTGATAACTTTGATTAATAAAAATAAAACTATAACTTCTAATACAACTAAATATATTTAATATTATAAAGGTAGAAAATAAATGAATCTAGTTTACTGTAAAAATTAAATGCATGTTTTATAACTTTCCATTGTATATCTTCACTTATATATTATTAAAATATATATAATCTAAAAAGTGTAAATATTATATTTTTTGTTTCATAAATGTGTATAAAATTAAAAATACTAATTTAATGTCAAAAACTCAAAATATATTATTTATAATAATATAATTAATGTAGCAGTATAATTTTAAACTAAACTTTCTTTAAATTTTTAACAGTTATTAAAATAATTTAAAGTTTCTCATAAATGTATTATGAAATAAACTTTAACATATGAATAGAACTTATTAGTTGTTGATTCCCTTGCTATTATTTTACCCTTATTTAAATTTTTTTATAATATACTATATTCCTAGGGAATATTCAAAAATTATATTCCAGAGATTACAGTATGTAGTGATAAATGGACAAATAATAATAATAAATAATTGTGGGTATTGTTTTTTATTTATAATTCATAATATGTTGAAACATATGATATAATATTATTATACCACATGTTTTTACAAGTTTTTTTTTTATTTATATTTATTAATTTAGGGCCCAGAATTATATGCACTTTAAACGTACGAAATATGCATGCATTTATGCACTGATTATTATTAAAATATGCAATGCGAAGATATGCAAACAAAAATACATGTTAATTAAATTTATTTAGTTTAAAAATGTATATAATTCATTAAATAATTAATATGGTAAAAAAATTTAATAAATATTAAACAAATGGGATTAAACACTTAGGTATTCGACTATGATGCAATGAAAAATCATAAAATACAGTAATATGCAGTGCAATCCTAAAATTAAAAAATATACAAAATAAAACTTTGTATTTTGGATCTATTGACCATAATTCAAACTTGTAGCTTATCTAGTTACTTTTTGAACTGTTAAAAGAAAACATGCAAATATGTACAAATCCGGGTTCTATGTATTATACATTATACAATGTCATCATTGATGTAGTTGGGTATCATCTGATACTTATATGTCTTGTAGCAGCTGAGGTTACAAGTGTGTGTTTTCCATTCTGGCCCCCATGCTGTATGCCAGTGACTAGTCAAAATATCTCTAGTATAAACATGCTCTTTAAAGTATTACATTAATTTTTAACATTTTGTGATTAAAATAAAATACAACAATATACTGTTTCTGGTACTATTAGTTATTATGAGTTATTTTCTCAGTTATTTTTTAACTGGTTTCTACTATAGGCAACTGACAAAAGATAATGATAATGATTGTATTTGTCGTGACCCGTTTACCAATACAAATAATTTAATTTGATTATAATCAATAACAGTTCAAACGAGAGATTAGATGTAAAATAATATTTGTTTATATTTATTTATTTTGTCAGTGTAATACTAAATTACCAATAATTACCAATGTAATATTAATTGGTCAGATGACAATAAAACCATTTGTATTTTTTGTATTGAAGATAATTTGTATTTAAGATATTTTTATTCCATTTCATTGCTTAATTATTGTATGGATATACAAAGGTGTTAAAAATCGTTACGTTGACCTCAACACCGAGTCTTGGAGAATTCCAGCTTCAATTTTATCTGACTGAGATAAGTCCCATTACTATTTCTCTTGAAATAATTGATTTGATAAAAGATTAGATTATTTGAGCAGGCAATTTTGAGAGCTTGAATGACCAAACTAACTGATTATAACGATCCAATCCCAGACATTGGTAAAATTATTTTTTCCATAACAAACGATACATTATGACACAATTTTGACATCAATCTCTATTTTTATTGGTAGTTAATTTGAGCTATAAATTAATACGTCATGTCCATACAATAATTGCATTCGCAAAATTTCATTAAAAAAAAACATTTAAATATTATAGTTTTTTTTCAGTTTTAACTTTTAAAATAATAATATTTATTGTTTCTAAATTGTTAATGAATGTACTTATGTATTAAATTATTTATTTATTTTAGAGATTTCACCAAGTATAACACGTTTTTTATGCAAGAAGATTTGGATTACACAGCAGCAGTGGAAATGACATCTGAAATATTTTTTTTAGAAATTTCACACCGAATAGTAGTTTGTGTATATGAAGTAATTTTAATTTTAACATATTTTACATAATTAGTGCTATTTAAAATTACTTGCTAATAGAAAAATTACCTTTTTTTGTCAAGGTATATTGGTTACAAGGTACTGTAATAATCCAAGGTGGAGCAACTCTTGGGAAAATTCTGTTAGATCTAACAGTTGTACGGACTGATAAATTGTATAATATACAAGGTCAGCCAAACAATATTATTGCATTAACTCCGGGTGGTGATCTTGGTTGGAAACGTGCAATACTTCGTTCTGTCACTAAAAATTTATTTTTTTCCTTCATGTTTCCATTACCTTTTATCGCAGCAGCAGCCAATCAAAACAGATGTGCATATGATGTTTTGAGTGGATCAATGGTTGTAGAATTTGCACAACCATTTAGATGTGAACAATCTGAGCTTATCCCTATTGTATAGTTGCTCTAATAATGTACACAAATATTTGTAAATAAAAAATAATTCATTTTATAATTATATAATATCCATGAAACTTAGAAAGTTTATATGCTTTAATGTAAAACATCCAATAATTAAAATTAAAAAATATAACTTTATCTAAGAATGACATATCTATTTATTTACAATGATAATTTATATAAATGTTAAGACTTTTTCAATTGTAAAAAAGGATACTTTTTATTTTTGAATATCTACAGTCTCATTCGAGAAAACTGAAAGTCAGTATGTAAAATCCTAGTTGTTGACATTAATTTTCATAAAAAGTAAAACATATATTATTATTTACAAATATAAGAAAAAAGTTCACGATTATATGATGAATACTTTTGAAAATAACACAAAACTATGTTTGTATTTTTTGAAAGTTAGTTTAAATATATCTAAATTGGACAATTTTTTTAATTGTATCAAAATACCTGTATGCAATTCTTTAAATATTGAATGTGTGACATCTTAAGTACACTAGTAAAGATAATCAAAATTTAATAAGTGAATTAGCCACTTATGACATTATGTTACTAAGCAAGTAACTTAAAGTAAATACAAAATTACACTGAAATTAGGTATATCATATAATGTTTATATTTAGCCTTGAACAACTATTGTTTATTAACAAATATAATTTATGATCAATAGACATGTATACATACAAATGTTTAAATTAAGTATGGGTTTTGGTTATGTGTACATGATGTTATTGTTATTACCGAATTCATAAAACGTGACTAAAATATTATTGAATATCTTATACTTCCATAATTGTTTTATAAAAAATAATTTTTACATTATCTATTCATAACAAGAAAGTTATAATGCAAAGTTGTTAACACACAAAAAAAAAGTTTGAAAGGTAGGTTACATAAAGTAATTTATATCTGTATGCAACAATCAAAAAACTCTAACAAAATACAATTTCAAGCAAAGTTCAGTTATACTTGTTTTGAAATACTATGATTTTTATGTAAATTTGAACTCGAGTGTTTAAAAAACAATATTTTAGAGAAGATTCTAGATGCACTTTAAATTTGGAGCAACATTTCTTACAGAAAAACTATCCTAAATGATACTTTTATTACCTGTTGTAAATTTGACATTAGCCAGTTTTTATTATGAATATTTTATTATTATAAAATATTTATTATGAAAGCTGTTCAGAAAATCAAAAAATGATCTCCTTAATTCACTAACTAAATCCAAAATTTTACAAAAATCATTTATAGTTTTAATTAGATAACAAATTCTAGTTAAAAATTTATTTATAAACACAAACAAATAATTACAATTTTTACACATCATAATAAAACCTATATATTTGACATGCCTCATTTCGCTAAGAGCCTAAAATATAAAATATATTCTTCATATTATATACATATTTACCAACAATTGTATAAATATTCGTTTAACTATATTATAAAACTACTTGTAATGCACAATAGAAATATTTTCTTCATGACGTTTAAAAATTATTTTTTATAAATAATTATCATACACAATGCCATGTGGGAAAATTTAGTGAATATGATTTTACTTTTTTTAAACAAAATCTCTTAGAATAAATTTAATATTTAATAACAATATTCCTTATTGTTATTCAAGTTACATAATTTACGGAAATAACTTCCTTCAACTTTTCTGTTTTACCTATGATTTTTCTAATTATTTTCCAATTAGATCATCCAATCATCCAAAAAAAGTACACATCATAATAGAACCAATACATTATTTGCTATGTTCATATTTTAGAAAAAAAAACGTAAAATTATATATTAATGAACATTTTTAACAACATTCAGAATTTGAAATTTTTATATAGCAGCTGTTATTATAGTAGTTTTTCCCGAACAGATTTAGAAAATTCATATTAATTACTTACTTTTTGATGTATTGAGTTGATTATTAGTTATTACCAAGGCTTGTGACTTATATATCTCTATAAAAAGGTTGTTATAAGCACAATGGTATGCTCTATAAAACATTTATCTAAGCGCTTTTATATGCACTAAAAAATTTAAAATATGCAAAAAGATAACCAATTTTCTTCTTTGAAATGACAATATAAACGTCCAATAACCCTAAAAACATGAAACTAGCATCAAAACTTCAAAATATACAACAAAAAATATTTTATTTAACTTCCTGGTTATCTGAAATAAATTTATAACATACTTAGATGGTACTAGGACATTTAAAAACAAATATGCAAATGCTATAAGACACAAGCCCTGGTTATTACCAATAACTAATATACAGTCATTATTCAATGGTGAAACTTAAAGTTATCGTTTTAGATTTTTAAAACATCAATGCCTTATATATTAAACGAATGCAGGAAAAATACTTCCATATTAGGTATCCTATTGTGTAATAATATATGAATGTCAGTAGGTATTCAGTTTATAAATAAGTACCTACCTAACGTACTTCGTACCTACTAATATATTTATAATATGTGTAGAATACCAACGATATTGGTAGGTACGTATTATAAATAATTATCACAATATCACCTATAACTACTGAACGACCTACCTATAATAATGGTATTCGGTTTAAAAGAACAACAATTTTAAAATTTTAAAATTGTTGTCCTTTTTTTCTTGTCTTTTTAATTTTTTTCCGGGATTCTATAATAATACCTACATGTATACATTTAAAACGATTCGTGATCTACAATACATAGAATAAAAACAACAGAAAATAAAGAAAGTATTATATGGTATCTAAACTTGAATTAAATATAAAGTATAGGTACGAGTAAAAGTAGAATAGGTAATTATTAACAAAGAAATGTTACTATGGTTTATCAATTAATAGATGATTTACAAAAACTAACTATATAGATTCATTTACATTTTCCTATATTACACCTGTAGATACAACATATACACCTGTATAAGCTGATTATAATACGTATGAAAATAATAAATACTGCATAGGTAATGCTTAAATTTAAATAGATAATACCCTAGGTACATGCAAAAAAAAAACAGAAGAACGAACAAACGTGATACAACAATTTAATCGTATCCATATGTGCAGACTAAAAATGGAAGTCCCTAACTACTTATTATTTTCAACAATTTTATTAAATGACCTACTGGATTATCATACATACATATAATACTTCTCTGATGCTCTGAGCATGTCCATTAGATGTCTCAAAATTAAGTACTTAATGGGTTTAAAAAATAAAAAAAAGAGATTAACGTTTCGTGTAATTAGGTAGATAGGTACCTATTTTTATTTAACTATAGCAAGTCAAAAACAATAGAACATATATTATATCATTGTACCTACTCGATACATCTTTAAAACATGCACATCTGGTCACAGCTGTCATTTTTGTCGTATAGGTAACACACCAAAATGTGTAGGCACCTAGTATTGCCGGAGCAAATCATTTACCGATATTTTATTTTATGCATTTGTATTGCAATGACGTTGCAATAGCATTCCAATCCTTTATTTTATTTATATTTCATACAAGCATAAATGTGTGCTTAACAAATTGGCAAGTTTTCAAAAATTATTTGTCAATTTTATATCATCCGGTAAATGTATATCATATGAAAAAACGATAATATCGATAATAACGATAATTTTTTCTCTGTACCCTTCATTTAAAAACCAAATTTTTCAAGCTCTCTACATTACTTTTGATTTTCGAATGGCAATCAATATTTAAAATTCCATCCATAGTATTAGTTTAAATACATTTTTTAGATGCCATTTTTGATTCCCGTAAACCCGTTGACGAGATATTCCACTTTTGTGTTGGGGAAGTAGTGGAGCACTATTAAAACGTCGCTCGCTGTACTGTATCACAAACGATGTTACATTATTCTCCCTCTACCCAAACTTAAAAATTGAATATCTCATCAACGGGTTTATAGAAATCAAAAATGTCAACGTTAAAATGTATTTAAACTAACACTCCGTCTATTTATAGAATTTTTATTATAGGTTACCATTTGAAAACCAGAGTAGATATTCGTTTCACACCCAAAAAAGTAAGCGAGACAAAAGAAAATACCAATGTAACGTTTTAGAGCAATTTGTTTCTTAAATTTTCAAAACAAATTCGTTTTTTTAAAAGAAAGTAAACATTTTGTAAGATGATGAGGGTTTTATGTTAAATGTATTAGGAATTAAAATTTAATTACTATTAGATTCTGAGTGGAGCAAGGAATGTATTGGTTTTACAATGATGCTTATTATTTTATTTTTTTTCATGTGAACGCTTATTCTACCAGAAAGCTTACTCCGATTATCAAGTATAGCATCTTTTCTAGAAGGAAATGTTCTCAGGGTGGTACTTTTAAAGAAGTCATTTTTTAAAATTTATATTTATATTCGAGGTAATGAGGAAAATTTGGTTCTTTAGGTTGAAAAAGAATGAAAGATTAAAAAAACAGTTGTCATTGATAACCATTTTTATTTATTTTTCGTTCCTATTAAGTTTTTATTATTTCAATCTTTTTTAAACAATCATCATTGTTGTAATGAAAATGCACATGGTTGTAATTATATACCATAATATGACAAAGCAATACTATCAACTGAACTCCGCTCAGAATCGTTTTTTCGTTAGCAATGGTTTTTCGTTGCTTACAGATACACATTCAATTCTCGTTTGTATCTTACCTTCCCGATTTCCCACCTATAACAGTGGCTGCACGTGCACGTGCATCTTTTTTTTTGTCTTCAAATATAAAAAATGTGGACAATTATGTAATGCTAGGTTAGGTTAGGTTACCCATTCCTTGATACAATGATATGTTATTTAAATTAACGAATGAGGTACCTACTCAAATTAGTCATGAATTATTCATCGTTATTTGTAAAATATAGTTGTATTGTGAATAGTCAATAAACAAGATAAAAATGAAGAGCAAGAATGCAAGATAATATTGAAAAATTATAAACTAGAAATAAGTAGTATAATAATAATGTATAAATAATCAATTCGATGTCGTAATAGAGATACCAAAAAAATTAAATAAATAAATAAATTAGCGTCAGCGTTATTATAATATTTAATTTTTTATTTTTAATAGGTATTAATAATGATTGTGCATAATATTATATTATGACGCGTAAAGATGCGTAATACATTTATTAAGAGACATTTTATATATTTATAATTAGAACTCCTTCTTATGTATTAATAAATAATAAAATGAACCGAAAATATGTATACATTTTTTTTATTTATAATATAGAATGAAGATATTTGCTTAAATTACATAACTTGCCATGGACATTTTTTAATAGATTAGACCAGTGGTCCTCAACCTTTTCGTGGTCGCGGAATACATTCTATTACGATATTAAATTTTGACGGTATAATATAATGTGTACGTATGTCTTTTTCGATTAAACAAGTAATAGGTATATCGTATTACAAAATTTGCAGGATTCTTCCCAGAAAAATGTTGAAAATCCACTACTGTACCCAATACTTTATCGTAAATGGGTCTACTATACTAGTTGCCTTCCAATAAGCAGGTAATAAATTTATAAGTGGTTCATAAAGGATTCAAAAATGTTCAAACATCATCATGTATCAATGTATAGATTTGTTTAAATCTTTTATCATATGAAGTAATATTATGTTGGTTGTTGTTTATTATTTTTTAATAACCTATCAGTCAGCATTGGATAATGTTGTTTATTATTATGTGTGACAAAATTATAAATATTAGGTATATTCAATTTGATAATTTTGATAATAATATATTTTTTATTTAAAATTTATTACCACATTGTGTTTTTTTATTGACTTATTGTATTACCAAATGTTTTTTATTGACCAATGATATTATTATTTTTAATGGAATTATAAATATTATATTAAATTCAGTTTAGTTTATGAACCACTGCTTTATTCTGTATGGGAGACGACTAGTGTATATGAACCTTTTTATTTACGATAAGGATGGGAGGTAATTCGTATATTTTGGGAGGCGACTCGTATGCACCGGATACATATTATGTGCTATGCAATAATTTAAAGGCTCTTATAATATTTTGAGTAGGTACCTACATAAAGCGTACGGCACATCCAAAACTCTATATACAAATAATGTATGACCATCATGGAATCCTGGTTTAGATCCACTAGATTACTATATTAATATTAACACGAACGTAATGCGTGCGGAGATCTTCTTAGCAAGGGGAACAACGATCTTTGAAATCAATAAACCTTACACGGAATTTTATTAGTCACAAAATGCCCAAATATTCTGGGGAGCTTAAATCACCATAATATCGATTTTGTATACTCATTATTTACTTGATGACTTGATTTTAGGTGGAGGAGGTTTAACTAAGTTTTAGGGGGATAAACCTTCTAAGCTCCAGATATTTACAAAAATCCTCAACATCAAGGAAACGTTAGAGTTGAATGTATTAAACAACAATCCTATAATTTCAATAAAACTATTGTGCGTGTTTTTATTTTTTCAATGAACTCGTAAGTCGTTGGTATTAGGTATGTTATGTAAAAAAATGTTTAATATTATATTTTTTATACATTTTATTCCAGTTAGCCGTTGAGTATTTGTAAGAATATAATTTAAAAAACAGGCTTCGAACATAAAACATTACCTACCTTGACCTTTTTCAAACTTTAAAGTAATGGTAATTGATACAGATAAAATGTAGTAATGAGCGAGTTGTACTATCTTCCATATGCTATTTTACCACAGCAGACTGGCCCTCTCCCGCCATCACCATAATAGCATTCTATCGCCAATACTATGTTGACTTATTAACTATTTATACTCCCAATTAAATTTACTTGACCTAAGTATACCGGCTTTAAATAATAACAGTGGAATATTGTTTTAATTCGTTTTTTTCTTTTTTGGGCGGGGGAAGTTTAGAGTTTACCTAATTTTTTGTCTCCTGGGGAGAGGGGGTGGGTTAAACCACTGTACTCTTGTAAATTCCAATGACTTACAATAATACAAATAAGAATATAAAATATAATATGATTTGTGTAAGAACTACCTGAAATAGATCACTGCATAAATTGTATAGAAAATAAACTGAAGAAATTGCAGTTATCGGCCATTTAGTTGGTACTTAATAATATGTCGATTAACTAATAAAGTATAATAACTATTAAGTATATCTATTCGGATAATTATTAATTATTAATATTTATTACATTTCAACTTTATTATTACTTATTGTTTTGCAGGTCATCCAAGTATACAATTATATAATTATAAATGTATTATAAAACTATTAACTGCACATCCGGTACATGGGTTTAGATAAAAAAAAAAATTATTACTATAATAATACATAATGACTTTGCTTCTATGGAATATATTAATTAAATTTAACTAGTGATAAATTATATCAATCTTTGTTATACTTTTGTGTAACACAAAATTTAAACATAAGGGATTTATATTAGCCCATTATTATGCACTCACACACACACACACACAGATAAATATAAATGTCTTTAATAACTTTAGTATATTTTCTAGAAAATTCTAATATAATTACTTTATACAAATTTCAGATCTCTAGGATTACTTTTAACTGAATTAGAACAAAAAACAAATTCAAAATTAACAGAAACCGCTATTGCGTACATTTTCTTTTTACCAAACATTAAGCAAACTACAATGAAAATCAAAAAAAAATCAAATCTATTCAACGTTCAACTGAAATAGGATAACCAATCAATTTTTGACTATACTTAAATGTTAAACGTTTTCTATAGTACGAGTGTCCTTATATAATTTCTAAGCCTCGGGTTAAAAAGTACTTTAGATATACATTACACCTGATTATTATTTATCTCTAAGTATAAATAGTATACATTAACACTTGTATTTGTAACATAATATATTAATATCAATGTAACTAATAGAGTATGGATTATAATGCAAATTGCATTTTTTTTCTGATGTTCTTAAACAATGATTTTTCCGGCTGCAATAGAGAAACGATAAGCTATTTACCGAAGTCGTTATGTAATTGTATTGCACCATTTGCACCGTTGTGTTTAGTAAATTTATTAACCTTTCTAATAAAAAAAAGTTTTCTTTTCAATATTTAAAATAATTTTGTTTTATACCAAGCACGAAATATAATATGCCCGAATTCCAATGCCTCTAGGCTTATTGGTTTATAGCTTGTGTAGGCTATAATATAAGATTGTATCTATCCGAATTGGTTCCCGTTTGAAAAAGGCACTTTATGAAGGCGAATCGGTTTCCGTTTAATACCTGCATTTATACAGCAAATGAATAAACACAATTAATGTAGCCAATGTAGGTAAAATGCGTATTATATTTTTAAACTTTTATTTAACTTTTATCATACTACGGCGGGCATTTTACAGCTATCAAGGTAATAAAATAATGTTTTATCGACGTATTGATAAAATACCGCAATCAATTAAGATAGGTAACGTCAATCAATCTGAATATCTTTATGGCTATGTACATATATATATATGTATACCAAATATAAAATACAGAAATGTTTCTAGTATAAAATCTGAGTAATTCTAAGTCAACAGTCCGAAGTTTGTAATAATGAGAAGGGGAACGTGCGTATTTGACTACCTCACTGCGAACAGTGGGAACCATTTCATGCATCACAAATTTAAACGGGAACCAATCCCCGGCTCTTTGCTGCTACTAATACTTTTTTTTCAATATAGATTGACTTCATGCCTAACCTCACCCTTCCTGCAATCCAAATGGGAAGGAGGGATGTATAATATTATTTAAGTAGGTATGCCTATATATAGGTGCATGACTCATCCATCTACAAATTTTGTTTAAACTTAGCTTATATATGGTTATAATAGGTATGCAATATGCATCACGTATAATACGTATGTATATGTATAACATCCGGTTATTTTTTTTTTTACGTTATAAATTAGGTACCTACCTGCAAAGAACGTGAGTACAGACTGCAGAGTGGTCTGCCCTACGACTCACAAATGCATTTAATATATTCAAAATGTTTACAATCGTTATTCTCAAACCTGAATACATAAGATATACATACAAACGTGTACTTTTTATAACAATAATATTATGATTCGAATCCGGATCTTTTTCGTTAGCTATGGTTTGTCTTTAAATAAATATTGGTACCGACTACCGAAACACGGCGATAGGTAGAGATTAAAACGACACATTTCAATAATTTAACTGCACCGCCGTGTCCGTGTCTCACCGTGTACGCGTACATTTTCTCCAACGGGGTTCGGAATCGGAGAAACGAAATAAAAGACTTGGCACGTGGGTGACTGACAGTAAATCGGCCGCGGCGACGATTTAATTCGTCCTGACCCGTGGTGGGATATTTTTCTCCCGGACCTCTCCCGTCGCGCGCGCACACACGCACACATCGTACGACCGTCATCGCGATACCGACGGGGTAGAGTTTCCCAAGTGCGACCGGTCGCAACGACCAGTCGCGACGGGCCCCGCAGCTGGCCGTTCGACGAATACGCGCGGGCGCCGTACCGCGTGTCCGACGCGCCGGAAACGCAGACGGGTACGCCGACCGTCAGCGTTTTCGGCGCGCACGTCTCGCACGGACATTCCATCGACTCGCCCGTTATCGCGGCTCTTATTATTGGCCGACAATCAGCGTCGCCGATAGCGGTATAGACGCTACGGCATCGGTTGCGCGCGGAGGAGGCGCGCACACCGAACGAAAACGCAACGCCGCCGTGATCGCACCCATTCGCTTTTCCACGGTTCCCGACGTGCGGTCGACGCGCGCGCGCGCGCGTGTGACGTAAAGCGTCTGGTCGGTCCGCGTGGCGTGTAGTCGTCGGTCGTTGCGTGCGGCCGTTGCGTGTGAACACCGCTCCGTTCCGGCAGCGGTTTGTCGCGCGCATTGCGATTATTCGAATGCCCGCGTGGAGCTGTCAAGTATCGCTGCTGACATCGCTCGTATTTGAATGATATTGTATAATAATAATAATAATAATAATAATAATAACAATCCGTATCGATCATACTTTATGTTTTGCGGTTACGACAATGTCGAAGTCCGCGTTCAACTTGATCGAAGATGAACTTCTGGTGGAAGAGGTCAGCAAAAACCAAGTGATATACGACAATTCGCACGAGAAACATAAGGATTTGCATTACAAAGAGATCATTTGGAATAAAATATCGCCCATTGTCGGAAGAAGCAGTGAGTAACAAAATTCACTATCTACATACATGTACAGTTTTAAATGTTTTTAATCGTTGTCTGTTTCACTATTTCCACGCGCCTGCCTATGTTTCCCATTTGTGATGTATTTTGCGCTAATTTTAAATAACCAACATTGTTCTTTAAATATTTAACAATTCGATTATAAAGCTTAATGGGGTAAATTGATTACGTTTATTATTTATAGCTGATGATTGTAAAAAACGTTGGAGGAATATACGTGATACTTATATGAAACATAAAAGAAAACCAGGAACTGTATCAGGTACATCGAAAAAGAAGTGGGCACTGGCTGAAAATTTATCATTTTTGAACAACGTAATACAATACGAAAGAAAGTAAGTAGGTACTTATATCATAGTATAGTTTAGGCGCAATTGGGGTGATACTTGGTTTATTCCAAGTCCCCTCCAGTTCAAAAGTTGTTAGAAGTACTTAATACTACTAAGAATATATTTATCATAAATGAGAAAAACAAATTTTTGTTACACGTTTTTTTTCTTCTGATTATGATATAAACATGGAGATTACAATACGAACAAAATTCAAATTTTGAAAGCGCGCACTAATCGTATAAAAACTATTGGTACATTATGTGGGGGAAATAATACTGTGATAAACTCGACGTTATCTTGGTTGAGGTTAACTATGGAACAGACTCAGTTTTTAACTATGTCAATGTTAAATAATGAGAGGGATTTATCTAATAATGGAAACAATATTGTAAATTTATTTACTGGACGATAGCCAATTGATTCTTGAAACTAATTACCATTTAGTTCGGTGACTCTCGCCCATGGCCTTATCATATTATACTTTTATACTGTGATAAGTGATAACTGCGTTTTTTACTACTGTCTTCGGAGAACCATGGTTTTTTACTATTGATTTTTCGTCGTGGTGCCCAAGATAACACACCACTCGCGTCTATATGGGAGTGGCAATTGTGATTGTAATTATTCACGTACAGTAATAATATGAAAATATTTAATGAAACACGATTTCCAATTAAGTACACCACGTTGATAATACGATTTTTAGACTGTAATATATTACGTATAATGTACAGCGTGTGTATAATGTATATTTCGTATTATTCATTATTTCGTCATCGTTGGAAGACGAAGACGGCAGTAAGTCAATTTTACTGCGAAAACTATTTTCTTGTTCAAAGCCATTGTTAACAGATTATAATAATATATAAATACACACCGATAAATACGTCATACGCGAATAATGCAATTATTTCTACGAATCTATTATTTTCTATCACAAAACACACTTATCGAATAATCCACATCGTCACACCGACACCGTCAAAATCGACCGTGCCATTTTTCTGCACCCGTGTAGATAAAATTACAATACATCCGGTCATATGGAATCCGCTATTTCCACTGCATCGGTGACGGCGGCTGGTTATAATAGGCAAAATGTTCGCGTTAGACAGTGTACGCGGGCGCAGGCGCCATGGAAAAGAAAACTGTGGAAAACGCTAGAACAGTTATCACAGTACAATTGTGATTGAGGCCCTTGAGCCTCGAATTAAATGGCGAATTGACACTTTACTTCTTAAAACCGGTTAGAAATCTAGTATTGTTGTATATATCTGCCATCTGCGGTACAAATACATTCTATTTACGAGATTATAATTATGTATCGAGTTAAATTCGATTATAATGACGTATTTCGTTCAGAGCCCTACTTAGGGGGGGGGGGGTGTTAGGGGTGCTGCAGCCCCGGGCCCCGACATAATAAGAGGCCCCCGTGTATATTAATTTAGTTTTAAAATTATCATTGTTTAAATTTGTCAAAGTAGAAAATATTTACGAAGAATACCACTTGTGATAGAATTATAAAATGTTATTTAATCAGTAGTCTATAAAATTATCCATTAAGATAAAGTTGGGAAATCGTAAATTTTGAAAAAAACAAACGTATTATCAACAAATATTTTATCTTACACTGATGATAAGGAAAAATGAGACAGAAAAAATAATTCCCGGATGATACAGTTGAAAATAATTCGAATATTCGTAAAATATAAAAGACTGACATACTTTGCAACATGGGTGGGCCGCATTAAATAAAATACGCAACTATTATCCATTGCTTACGAAAAACGATTCTGAGCGGAGTTTAGATAATAGTCAACAATATAACATATACGTCACATTATGGTAAAATAATCACATATACATTATATATTTTCTTTAATAACATTTGTTTAATAATGTTTCTATTTTCCTTGTTTTTCCCATTTCTAGGGAAAACTCCTGAAAAAATAAAAAAAATGACTTCCTTATAGTCAGAGTTTCTTTCATAAAAAGTGCTATGCATGAAAATTGGAGCATAATAGCTGATAGAAAAGTTGTCTTTAGAAAAGAGAAAACAAACTTCATTGTCAAACAAATACATACCTCGCTCCGCTCAGAATCTAAAAATTAGAGATTGACACTTTTTCTATTATAATTGATTGTTTAGTTACGGAACTGGATAAGAAAAAAAACGGAATTTATAATTTAATTTAAGGACCCCATCTAAAAATTAGTCCCGGGCCCCGAAATTCTTGAATAGGATTCTGATTATATTTATGTAGTTAATTACCCGGGCAAGGGTACGTATTTAAAAACAATAAGACATACCTAGTGTTTTTGTTTTATTACTGCAGTTTTTGATGATAAAATTTAGATTTTGGTTTTAATTCGAGAAGCTAATTAATTGAAAAACCGTCAGGGGACTACGGACAATGGGGAACTATAAATATGAGACATTGTACATCTTTTGTTCATTTTCATGCTACAAAATTTTTTTTATTCGAAATATTTAATTAAAACAATTAGTTTAGTTTAAATATAATTTGTTGACTTCGAATTGCCTTAAGTTTTTTAAAATTACCTATTTTGTGTCAGTTTGATATTAATTATTCAATGTACCTACTCATATTCTAGATATGTTTATAGGAAATTAATTTTTTTTCGGAACTTACAATTAAAAACAATAAAAATTATCTAAAAAAAACATTCTATGAATACAATTATCACCCAATTTTTATTTTACGATAGTTCAAATTATTGTTTAATTATAACTACATAAAAGTTATTAAAATGTAAAAAGATTATTTTTTTGCGTCAATATTATTATTGCTACCTGTAAAACTATAAAATAAAATGCGTAATAATAGTAAAAATCTTTTATCAAATTAATCTTTCAAACTAACGTAATATTTGTATTTAAATATTTCAGTATGATTGCACATTTTAACGGGAATGATTCTCTAATTGAAGACAATACCGAAGATGCCAACGAAAAGTTTGAAAATAACACGATCGAAAAGTCCGTGATAGAATCAGATTTTAATGAGTATCAACCGCCAACAAAAATGTCGAAAATTAAAAATTATCAAATTGACAGAGCATCTACGATTGTTGAAAGTTTACAAAAACCAAACGAAGCTATTATCACATATAACACAACGACCGTTGACGAAATAGATTTGTTTTTCCAGAGCATCGCGGGCATAGTGAAAAAACTACCGCCCAGAGGTGTTACCGAGGCGAGACTCGAAGTTTTGAAAACTGTATCGGCGCTCGAGGAAAAGTACTCCGACAATTATTACTAGAAACATTGTGAATATGTGATTTGTTTGCGAAAAATAACAACGGAATCGCATCGAACACTTTGAAATGTCTCTGGCCGTGCTGAAAATGTACCAGTGCATAATACAGCCGCGACTTTCTGCCGTATCTCACGGGAGACCAATGAATAATCGACTCCGCAGCGTTCGATCGTTGCGGCCAGTCGCATCCATACGCGGGAACCTCTATTTTTACACCACTTTTCAAAGACGATTTAACAATTAATAATTTACGGGGGGGGGGGGGGAAACAACAACAACCGGATAAATTTTTGATCCGGCACCTACATAACACCATTGGTTACGATAATAAATATTTATTTGTGTGTATGTACCCGTATAGTGTGCGTATGTAATTACTGTGTGTATATATTGTTTTATAAAACTGTGTAATTTTTTGACGAAAAATAATACTTTGATTTTTAGATTTTGGTTGAATTATTTACCTGCTCTTCGCTGTTATTAGCATTTATCACACGAGGCGAATGTACAACACGGATAATACAATTTATTATTGGACGATAAATTTGAAAAAAAAAAAGAGAGAGACCGACATGCTTCGCGCGACCGTGAAAAGGTGACAAGTTGGGAAGGTGGGATATTGGGGAGAATTCAATTTATGTCCGATATACCATTGCTAACGGAAAACGTTACGGAGCGAAGTCTCTTTTATACATACGTGTACATTTGATTTCGGTTTTCCTATAATCTTTCCCGATTATTATCAAAACCGCCGAAAAATGACCTACTGGTTAGGCCACCCACCCAGGTAAAATTTTCATTCAGAAAAGGTGGTACTTCACGTGAAAACCGGAGCAAGATTTCTGGTAGACCAGTTGTTCACAGATAAAAATAGCGAAAATAAACGCCATTGTGAAACTAACTACAATCTAAAATTACAGTTTATCCGGGAATCGATGATGTGTTTGCGCGTGCCGTGCCGGTTTTTTGTTGCGATTATCATTTGGCGTGATCCATATCGCACATAGGCGCCATTTTCACGGGAAAATGTAAACATTTTTTAATACCGATTCTCCCCTCTAACAGGCGCCAGTCCGACGACACCGGGAATAAAAATCGTTGGCGTCTACCGCGACCGCGCACAATTTCGTTAAAAAAAAATAAGCGAACAGTTTATAACGCCGAATGTCGCGGCCAAAGTATCGATTAAAACACCTAAGCCAACTACGGGTGCAAATTGCAAGGGGGTGCGAGTGCAACTCCCATAATGGAAATAATTTGTGAACGGACGACGCATGCCCCCTGGTTTCGGACCGGCGGCGGCGGGTCGGGTCTCGGTGGACCGCTCGAAGACCACACTCTGTTCGAATTGAACATTCGGCGGGTCAAATTTATTTTTTTTCGGTCGGCAATACCGTCTCCGACGGGACGCCAAACAATACGCTGTGAACAATTAAAAAATATTAAGAGGCGCTCCGATTCGGGCGCCGTCTGTTTAATAGTTTATCGAAATCGTCGACATTCCCACCGGTATCGCGGACTGCGGTTTAGGTTCGTTTCCGGGAATCGAGCGTTTTTACTGTAGCAAATGGAACACTATCGTAGCAGGGGGGCCGGTGATTTCGACCCGACGAGGCGACGTTATTATTATTATTTTAGTGCGTTTCGTTAATAATAATATAAACGCACGCGTAA